TTGGGCTCTGTCACTCTCTGTCAAAATGGAGTGCTACAATTGCTGATGAAACGTCCCGGCGAGCACTTTCCCGGCCAAGAGACGGGAAGGGATTTCCAGGGAGAGACCTGACACGTTTCCTCTCTGAGGTATCATGCCTGGGAGGGCAGGCTGGTGTTTTTCAGGGAGGATCCTCAAGTCCCTTTGCAAGGCATTTTCCACGTGCTGATTTGGCCTGACGTGCGAGCAGAGGCTTTCCTTGCTGTAGCCTCCGACATGTGGAGCTCGTCATGGCCAGCGGCCAGCTGGGATGCGAGGTCTTGTATCCAACATGGCTCTGTCACTGAGAGAATTCACCTCGGTTTTTCCGACCCCATCACGCTGTGCAAGAGGCTTTCCTGGCTTGTGGTTGTAGACCGCTGTAGCGCTGGGAGAGTGGTTCGGGGAGCAGCCGTGGTGTTGGCCTGACTCCCCACTATTCCCCCTGGCACTGAGGTGAGATACCGCTACCCTCCGAGGGGCAACATCTCTTGACTCCTGGAGAGTCCTTGCTGCTGGCACGCTTAGACTTCATCCAGCAACAGCCCCCAGGCTGGAGAACAAATGGCCCGAGAGATGCAGCAGAGGAGAAAACCACTTCCAGCCATGGACTCTAGCCAAGGAGTTCAGCGAGAGGCTGGGCAGGATGCGGGAAGGCACGGAGCAGGAACCAGCTGCCAGTGTGGTCGTACCCTTTCTCAAGGACCGGGCGGGTGGGAGCAGAGTGGCAGTGTGCGTACCTGGGCAGGACTCGGCACTCCCTTGCGCGCTGACCTGGCCGTTTGCCATCCTGTCTCCGAACGATGAGTTCGGTGGAAGGGCCTCCTGCAATGAAGGGCTGCCAGGAAACGAGTGTTTTGTTTGAGGTCTCTAAGGAAACCTAGTTCATGGGAAAGCGATGTTTGATGATGGGCTAAATTGTTTCCCAATTAATTGGGCTGCTGGGGGACCAGAGGCTGGTGAGATGCTTTGTGGGGAAGGGAGGGTAGGGGGATGCAGGGACCCTCATGGGTTTAATTTCCCATGGTGTGGGTTGTTTTGAAATCTGCGTTTGCCCTCCTTGGAGAGCAGCCCTAGGGCATGGGCTTCAGGTGGTGACAAGTTTTGCTGTGGCTCTTTCCCCAACAGCTGGGTTTGGACTTGGAGGAGCTGGAAGAAATCGAAGAAGATGCTGGGCTCGGAAACGGAGGCCTGGGTCGTCTGGCAGGTAATATGGGAGAGGGGGGCCTCCTCCTCACTCAGAGTGCACGGGGACCAAGGGTGGCATGGCTGGAGGCTGTCACGCCCTCGCCATCGCATCCTCAGCCCGCATCCACCCTGCAGCCTTCAGCAGCGTGGTACCCTCTACCCTCCTGCCTGCTCCTAGCTGGCCAGAAATGAGCCCCTTCCCCAGTGAGAGCATCCAGGAGATGTAGTTATGTAGTCTGCGGCACAGCAGGCAGGGCTGTGGCTGAAAAAGGCTGTCTGGAGCCTTTCTCCTCACCTCCCTGTGAAATCTCTCACTTTTCAGAGGCATCCAAGCAGCTCTCACGTAGGCAGATTGTTGGCTGCTGTTTTAGTCTGCCTGTCCCACAGGACTGCTGGAAACGAGAGCTCCCCAATGCGGAGGAAATGCCGAGGCTGATCTTTACCAAACCTGCCCCGGGCTGAGGGCTGGAAGGGGTTGCTTTGAAAGCAATAATAGCAAAGTAGCTGGTGGAGCGACGAGTCAGGGTCAGAAGCCCTGCTTTAGCAGGCAGGTAGGCAGGTTTAGAGCAAGGTGTGGGCATCTCGGGCAAGTTTAGAAGAGTTCTCACTGTGACAAGACTGGATTTGGGTTTTTGGTGACCGGTTCTTGTCACCAACAACTCTGGGCTGTTCGTGGTGGCTCGGCAGGACGTGCCTGGGGTCCTCCTGCAGGCTGTCTCCTCCTGTCCCTTCTGCACATGGATTTCCTCTGAGTAAGAAATGCTTCTGGTGGCATTGGTTGGGGCAGCTCCTCTCCCCTGTGCACAGCACCCCATAGTAGGTATGGTGATAGAGGGGTGAGGTTCCTTGTGGCATGACCATGCTCTGCTCTTCCAGCTTGCTTCCTGGACTCCATGGCCACTCTGGGGCTGGCGGCGTACGGTTATGGCATCCGCTACGAGTTTGGCATCTTCAATCAGAAGATTGTCGATGGCTGGCAGGTACATTGGCCAACTCAAGTCATCCTTTCTCCTTCTTTTTCATGCTCCAGTGGCCACCTCTGCCTGTGGACAAGGTCTGGCCACACAAACGGCACTGCGGTACCTCGAGCTATTCATAAACCGGGTGTTTGAGCCCATCACCTGGTGCCAAATGGGCTCTGAATGCCTACCACTTGTGCTGGCCCCAGGGTTCTGATTGCCCGAGCAAAGAAAAGCGATGAGGGCGGTGGGGTGCATGTGCAGCAGGCGCTCATGCAGGGACACCTACAAGCTCATCCACGCCAGTCACCAACCTGGCAAGATGATGGTGGAGCTGAGCCCAGAGGACATGGTTGGGATCAGAGGTCTCCCTGCCTGGGGCTCCACGGCCCAGCTGCAAAAACCCGATGGTCCCATCCAGCCTGGTAGGGAGTTGGCAAGGATGGAGATGTGGCTAAACACATCTGGTGGAGGATGGATTGGAACATGGTAGAACACATGCAAGTGCCTGGGATGCTGCTGCTCCTGCCGGTTCCCCTGGGAGACTGGCAGCGAGGGGCTTAAACAGGGTCTCTCTTTTAGCATTAACGATCATAATATTTTGCAAGTGAAAATAGGCTAAAAAAACTGCCCCAGCTGGCAGTTTTCCCTAGTGTATGTCTGGAAATGTTTTCCATTAGGAGACTTGCCTTGCTTCTGAGCATAAAGGACCTTTTTTCCCCTTAAAATAGCTCTCCGTAAGTCAGGGAGGGTGAGAGGTTTGAAGGTTGGTTTTTCCTCCCTCCCCACAAAGAAGCTGCAATGCTAGGCCCTATAAATGGTGAAAATGGGGGAAAAAAGCATCCACTCTAATTGGCTTAATGTTACATAAAAATAAAACCCAAGGAGTGGTCGTGATGCTGGGGTGTGGCTCAGACCTGCCCCATGCCTGGCAGAGAAATGCCCGCCAGCACAGAGCATCTCTCCAAGTGCCTCAGCCCCTCTGGTTTCTGGTGCCCATCAGCCTTAGTGAATTCTCTGCTGAATTCACTTTACTCCCATTGGGGCTGTTAGGAGCAGAGAGGAGAAATCCTCTTGAGACAGTCAGCGGTCTGTACAGTTTGGATGGTTGAAACCTGTACAGCTCTGCAAAGTCCATAGAGGCTGATTTATTTATACCAACTGGGATGTAGTCATCCGTGTTTCGAGAAGCCCAGCTGTCCTCTAGAGGCCTCTGCATATCCATTTTAAAGCCAGCTTACTAAAGCTTTGCTTTTAAACTGTCCTCCCCTCAGAGAGCCTGGTTTAGCCTTCCCTTGGAGATAGAAGCCATCACTTGAACCTCGTTTGCCTCTTGCAGGTAGAGGAGGCCGATGACTGGTTACGCTATGGCAATCCCTGGGAGAAAGCTCGCCCAGAGTACATGCTCCCCGTGCACTTCTACGGCCGCGTGGATCACACCCCTGAGGGTGTGAAGTGGATTGACACCCAGGTACCAATATCTCTCTCCGTGCTGGGCTGGGGAAGGATGTGCCAGGGTAGCGTGGAGGGGAGAGACGCTGTCCCCATCTGCCTGAGGCAGTCAGACTTTGCTTCTCTGGCAAAACTCTCTGTGCTACCCTTGCAATTTCGAAGGTGACTTTGTTGGCTACGGCTGCAGCAGGATTTGAGGAAAAAGAGGGATGATAGCAGTCACAGCGGTAACTTCAGATCGGTTGGGGCCTCCTTCTCTGGTGATATCCAGGGTGAAGCCTCACAGTCTTGCATGGGTTTCTGTCAGAGGAGGACTGTATCCCTGACAGCTGTGCTAGGCTCCTTCTGCACTGCTCCTAGCTACTGCTCGCACAAACCCAGTGGTTTTGCAGGTGGTTCTGGTGCTGCTGCTGTGGGTGGAGATTCATCTCTTGGGGTGGCCATGGAGCAGTCCTGTGAGTGTTTCGCTCCTGTGATCAGAGCAAGTTCCTCTTTCCCAGACCAGCCTGATGGGTAGAGTGCTGTCAGGGGAGGCTGGAGGCATGGTTTCAAGTCTCCAGTCTGCCTGGAGGCCTTGTTTTGTGGCATCGTGGAGAGGAAACACTTTTTCAGCCTCCCACAGTTGGGGAGGTAATGCTGTGCTTCGGGAGCACGTGCCTGCTCAGAGCACAGGCTGCTGCGTTGTAAATGCAGTCCAGTCTTACAGTGGAGGAAGGCAAGCTTTAAAGAGGCACAGATTTATTAAGAGGATTGAAGATGTTTCAGCCTCTCTTGTCTAAGCACTGCTCGGGATGGAGGAAGGAACAGCAATGAATTTCTCTGGGATTCAGGGACGTGACCTAGCTTTGTTTCTGTGATATTCAAAGGTCTCTTGGCCTGATGAGCCAGCTCTGTCCATCTGAGAAGCTTGCAGTCATAAAGCCAAATCATCCTCTTTAGCGCCAAGAGCTGAAGCCCACTTGCAGAGTTGCTTCAGCCTGCTCCTAGGAGAAATAAACTGGGTTCTTTTCCAGGGACCCTGGTTGTCAAAGGCGGTGCAGTGACCTAGGCCATTCCCAGGACACACAACACTGCAGAGGTTCAACACCACAGCCCCGTGAATGGCATGGAGGCACCGTGCCAGAGCTCTCTGGGGAAGCAGACATTCACTTGGGGACTGAGTGCCATTGCCTTTTAGTGTGCTCTTCTTCTGACCCCAGCAGTAGTCTGGGGTTTGAGGGATCCCAAGAAGTATGGTGGAAACATTGCTTCCTACAAGGAGGTGAATTTTCAGGTAGTGCTGTTAAGGGAACCAGTTGGAAAGGCTCAAAAAAGCCAAAGACGCAGTCTCCAAATATAGCATCGCTCAATTCATGTGATGTGTGCCTCAGTCCCCTGTGGGGTTCTCCTTTCATGCGAGGCACGGACGACTCAGCACACCAATATGATGATCAGAGAAGTCATTTATTAATCAGAAGGCTACACTTTATATTATGTTTTCTACCTCTATACACTCTCTTGCTCAAGCTCTGATTGGTTACAAGTGCTGTTCACACGACTGTCATGCTTTTTAGAAAAGATTCAGATAGGTGCTTATGCTGTGTGCAACTTCTATGTAAATCAGACACAAGCTCTTTGTCTTGCCTTGTTACTATGATTTTATTTCTTAATTTTATCTATCTCCGGTTCCCCTAGTATCCATCTGCTGTTCCACAAGTATCCATCTCTTGTTCCACAAGTATCCATCTCTTGTTCCACAAGCTTGCTACTTTGTATAACTCTCTGCATTTTTCCCACATCTTTTTACATTCTCAAAATACCCTCCAGTTCATTGCTAACATAAAATGACCCTACAGTCCCCTGGCACAGGCCGAGCAGGGCTTTCTGTCTGCTTCTCTGTTTGGAGCTGGTAATAGCAGCTTTGAGAGCCTGAACTCTTGCTGATTTTCCCCTGAGGGGAGGTGTTGCTGATGCCAGCATGAAGAGGCTCTTTAGGGCCAACACGCTGATCTGCCTGGGTTTTCCCAGCTCCTTCAGTTCTCTGCTGCCTCTCACATCTTTGCTTGGGGACCGTCTCTGGCTGCCAGGCCGTTGTGCCAGTACACGCTGGCTTGTTCAGGAGGGTGCTGGCTCCTTTTGCCAGTATCAGAGAGGTGGCCCAGGCTCCATGCTGCAGGATCAGGGCCTTGCTCTGCAAGCACCATTCAGCTCTGCTGGCATAAGTCCTCAGCCTCTTTGTTCCAGGCTGAGGTCGGGGTGCCTTGCCTCATTGCTCAGCAGGTCTGGAGGTACACAGATGTGAGCTGGAGTGCACAAGCTTGGAAGCACACCAGTGCCTTGCCTGGTTAGGGTAATCTGAACTGGGAGCCCCAGAGTTACTCCCTGTAGCCATGTGTGCAGCATCCCGATGCTTAAGCATCATCTGTAGACTGTGCTAATAGTTTTGCATTTATGTTCAGTTCAGGTGATGGAAATTGCAGTGGATTTACCCAGGCAGGTTCAAGAAACCTTGAACGTTGGGTGAATTGCTCTGAGAATGGTGCTGTGGGGGTAGGGTTTGGTCCTGGCAGGCTGCAGAAGGCTAATGGGCAGGATTCTGGCTGTGGAGTTTACCCCAGATGGAAACCCAAAGGTCCCAGCTGCCTTTGCCCTACCTCAGCACAGACAGAATCGCAGTGACCAGCTGAGGATGCTTGCAGTGCTCTGGTGAATAACTCATAGGTACACCAGTTGGTATAGGAAGATCAGCAGGTTGCTTGCAACACTCTTTTACATTTCATTGATGGGCTGGTAAGTCCAGTTTGTCAGTAGAGCTCCCAGCAGTTCTGCTTCTCCTACTAATGCTTTGCCAGTGGGTGCTGGAAGTGCCTGTGATAGCAGGGAAGTCTGTGAAGCTCAGCAGGTGTGTTTTAGTGAGGTGAGATCCTTACCACAGCCAGGAGTTGTCTGTGTCCTCTGGATTCTTCCTGCAGAGGTTTCAACCACTTAGTCACCTTCTCTGAGGCCACCGTGCTGCTAATCAGAGGGGAATATTATCCTTTTGCAGGTTGTCCTTGCTATGCCTTACGACACGCCAGTGCCAGGATACAAGAACAACACCGTAAACACCATGAGGCTGTGGTCTGCAAAAGCGCCCAATGACTTCAACCTCCAAGAGTGTAAGTGCTGTCCTTCCACTGCCTCTCCTCTGGCCAGGCTGGGCCATGGTTGTTCCTGTCTGCACAGCACTCTCCATCTGGCCTGCTTTATCCAATATCTCCTGGCCACCTCCAAAACACAGCACTGTGTGCACGTCCATGGATCACGCTACCTCCAACAAGTTCCAGACACCCATCCGTCCTCCTTCTATCCCCATTGCACTTCTCGTGCTCTCAAAACCTGCCCTGTGCCTTCCCCAAGTGATAGACCACCTGCCACTGCATTCCCCGCGTCACCAAATGAGCTGCAAACCCACGCTTGCCATGGAGGGTCATTTCTGTGCAGCATCATCCCTTAGTGCTGAAGGAAAAGAGCAGGACAGCCCACCTTGCTGTTGCTGTCCTTTGGGTCTACGTGTGACCTCTAGTGCATTTTTCAGGCTCTGCCTGTAGAGCTGAAGAACAGATAACAACAGAGCAACTAAACATAGCAAATGTCAGTGCTAGGCTGTTACAGACAGGGAAGGTTTTAGACTAGGCTGATTTGACTTACTCTTTCATAATGGCAAGTGCAGAGATGTGTGTGTCCAAGCAGCCCTGCCAGGAGAACTTGTGTGGGACAAGGGGTGATGGCTTTCGAGTCCTCATAATATCTCCTCAATTCTTGATGGACAACTGCGAGCTGGGTTTCAGATGAGCCTTTTGTACCTTTTAGGAGTTGAGTGTGATTGTGGTCTTTGTGCTTCTTTGCCATGCCCCATTTCTCTTTAGTCCTAAAGCAAAATGGTTGATGACTCACTTCCTTTTTTTTTTTCTTTTTTTGTCTTCTCTGGCTGCTATCTGTCTTCAGTTTCTGTCTGTCCTTCTTGATATGTGTGTCTTAAGAAACTGCATGGAGACGTGCCTTTCTCTTATCCCATCTCCTCCTGTCTCTGCTGCCTTTCACACATGTAAATTCCCATTCATATTTCATTAATACCAGCCCGAATGTCCCTGTTACAAATCTCTCCACGAGAGAAGAGGGAAAAGCGCAGTGTCAAGGACCTGCCTGAATCTCTACATCCGCTGCAGTGCTGTGTGTCTTTCTCTGTTGCTGCAGTCAACGTGGGTGACTACATCGAGGCGGTGTTGGACAGAAACCTGGCAGAAAACATATCCAGAGTCCTGTACCCAAATGACAACGTGAGTGACTCTCTTGCCTCTCTTCCCTGCTGCTCGGGATCATCCTCCCTGTAGTTGTATTGCTTTGTTTGCAAGCACTGGAAGGTGATGTTTATTGTTCTGGTTTGAGGATTTTTAGTACAATAGGTTGGCCCCGTAATTCTCAGTGAACAGACACAACTGACTGCTGGCAGCTGAGTGTCTGGCCTGTATTGTATAGCTGCTCTGTTCCTTGCTGCAAGGAGAAGACATATTACTCCTTCAAAGTCAAGGCAGTTGCCAATTTATGTGGCTTACCTTTTGCAAAACTAAGTTGTCATTTCAGAGGTGGCGGTGAGAGGGGACTCATTTCCATCCCCACTTCAAGGGATTTCTCACTCCAGGGACTGTGCCAGGCCATGCACTCACTGAGCACCAGATCCAAAAGGGAAGAGCCCTCACTATCTAGGCATGGATTAAGCTTATCTCCTGCACTTTACCCCCACCC